TGAGAAGTTCTTCCACCATTATTGAACTGTTAGATACATCAAACTTCTTGATGACTTGTCGGGTCAGGAAATTAATTTCTTTATATTCACGTAGACTTGAGCACATAAATATAACACACATGATGGACATCACTTCCTCCTGCTGCTTAAGCCCAATCGTTTATTTCCAGCTAACTATAAATACTGCTACATATTTATACTGCTGTCCCAAACAGAATGTGTCTCCTCTCTCAACAAGAACTGCTCTCTAAATTTCCTTTTTTCTAGGCTTATGGGTCCCAGGTGGGCCGTGTCCTCTTCGCCATCTATCTAAGAGGACAGGATACATTTGTCTTTTAATTTTTTTTACATTGTTTACTATCTACCTACTATGGCATCATTCTTTCTGGATTTTGTTTTGTTTTCTGAGATAGGGTTTCTCTATGTAGGTCTGGCTATTCTGGAATTCACTCTGTGGACCAGGCTAGTCTGTGTCTGTCCCCAAGGGCTGGAATTAAAGGCATATATCACTACTGCTCTGCTGTGTCATTATTCTAAATACCAGTGATGCAATCAAAACCAGAGAATCCCCTGCCCCAATATAACTTGTGTTCTTCTAAGGTCCAAAAAGAATTAGCAAACGAGAACAAAATACAGAGTTATCACAGGTTAAAGTCATAAAGCTGCCTCAGAGAATGGCCACGTTGGTCACCAAAACTCCTGTGAGATGCCATTTGGCAAAACACCCAAAGTTAGGATAAGCCAGTTGAGTTGATCTCCTCCCTGAAAAGCGCTTCTGGAAACCTTGCTGGCCCAGGACATTTTTAATCTGGTACTTGTAAAACCGTAAGACAATATTTCTCAAAGTATTTTTAGCAGTCATGTGCTAATTATACAGATTTACTGGATACAGGTATAACAATATATATATAAAAACCAGGCACTGTGATCATTTTTATCTCCTTGAGACGTCACTTCCTTGTGATGTTTCAAACTCCTCTTTTTTGTTCTCTATTAAGTATGCACTAAAATTGTTTTAAACTACAGTATCCTATTGTTTTGAAGAATACCGGAAACTGCTCCTTCCCTCTCTTTTGGTACTGTGACAAATAGCCACCATTTCCCGATACATTACCCCACAGACCAGAGCTGCTCATGTGTCCATTCCTCTGGTCTGGAACAGACCAGACTATGCATGCAAGCTTTGGGTGGAGATACAAAAGAGAGAAAACAAGTCTGCCACTAAGACATCTCTATACCCTTAGCAACCACAGTTCTCAGTATCTCACACGCTGCTCTCACAGCCCGGGTCTCCTTTATGAACTGACTGAATGCAGATGTGCAGCTATGTGCTTCAGAACTCACAGGGTTAATCTGAAAATTGCTTTTTGCCTCTCCACATGTACTTGTGCACAGATTCGTCTTTAAGGCTATACTCAGGGGCAGGAACTTGGACTTGTATGCGCATGCCTTTTCAACCCTCCGGCAAGGAAGGATGTAAAAGAGCTACTAAAAACAAAGTAAAATCCCAACAATAACACACGCTACTAGACACGCCTCTTAACTGTACCCATCATGGAAATTCAGACAGTTCCAGTTTTGGCATTAGGGGATTAGACCTCACTCTGATATTGAGGGAGATTTCAAGAAAAATACTAAGATTAAATTCTTAAACAGAAAAAAAAATAGTTTCCATGCTGCTTTCCTTCATTTAGTTCCAAAGAAGGCTCACGCTTTAATGTATACACGGAGTAGAAACTTCTCTGAAAGGTCTTACTCATATAGGTGCAAGAGATCAACTCTTCTAACTCTGCTTGCCCACTTCTGCCCTTAAATGGAGGCATAGTATGCCCTAGATTCTTTAGAGCAGACGGCATGTTAGAGAATGCCACCCAGACATGTTCTGCATGAATCTTGATGATTCTGCAACCTTATCTTTTGAAGTCACTTGTCCACAGACTATATGCAACCCACATAGAAGACAAAGAAATCCTACCTTGATGTGGGAGTGTCATATATCAATCTGTTGATTTCATTGGTTAATTAAATAAAGAAACTGCTTGCCCTGATAGGTTAAAACATAGGTGGGAGGAGAAAGATGGGAGGAGTAAACAGAATGGAATGCTGGGAGAAAGAGGAAGTGAGGGCAGACTCGACAGCTCTGCTCTCTGGAGCAGAGACGCCAGGCTCTGCTCTCCCAGGCAACTCCGACCCAGGGTGGACATAGGCTAGAATCTTCCTGGTAAGCACACCTTGGGGTGCTTACACAGATTATTAGAAATGGGCTAGTCCAAGTGCGAGAGTTAGCCGAGAAGAGGCTGGATATAATGGGCAAGCAGTGTTTAACAGAATACAGTTTGTGTGTTGTTATTTCGGGCATAAGCTAGCCAGGCGGCTGGGGTGCTGGGGACGCAGCCCCGCCGCTCCTTATTTCAACACTACCTCTATAAGCCAGTCATGTAACTTAGAAATGGTCCAAACACAGAAAGAAAAAAAAATATGGAGGAAGGGAGGGAGGGAGGGAGGGAGGGAGGGAGGGAGGGAGGGAGGGAGGGAGGGAGGAAACAAGTGTTATTGAGAATGTGGGTGAAGGGAACTATTATGTTCTTCTGCACTGTCGGTTGAGATGCAAATTAGTCAGCCGCTAGGGAAATCAGTATGGAAGTTCCTTAGAGAACTGAGAACAGACCTATACCACGGCACTCAACTGGTCCACTCCTGAGTTTATATCCAAAAGACATTCTAAGAAGATTCTTGCGCATTGATTTTTATTGTAAGTGTGTTCAGAATGGCCAAGTTACAGAATCAGCCTAGGTGTCCACCAACCAATGAATGCACAAAGAAAATGTGGCATACACACACACTGCAGTTTTATTTGACTCTAAAGAAAAATAAACTAACAGCATCTTAAGATAACAAGCACAGGGCAAAGTTAGATAGCAAACATGCTTGCTGCCAAACCTGATGATCTGAGTGTGATTCCTGGAGCCTACATGGTGGAAGGAGAGAACCAGCTCCTGCGTGTGGTCCTCTGATCACACACTGTGGCACACTCTCTCCTCCTTCCCCCCCCACACTAAATGTAAAAGAAGATAGCTATAAATGGAAACCATCCTAGTAAAGTAAAATAACTCAAGGCCACGTGTTTTCTCTCATTTGTGGGTGCTATATTTTATAAACAAGCAAACTCATTATAGATGACATGAAAGTAGAGGTTCTCCTGTCTGGGGAAAGGAGGGGATATTGGAGGGTGAGCACAGCCAAAGTATGTGATGTACCCTAATAAAAATACCTTCATGAAACCCATGGATATTTATAATAAATAAACTCCAATAAAAAAGAATAGAAACAGAGGCCTAGGAGGTGTCATTAGCAGTAGAGCGTTTGAGCGGCATACCTGAAGAAAAGGGAGCACACAGTGGTAGCTAAAGATGCAGGATAAACATCTGTGTGCAGAATGAGTTCAAGGGCCGCTGTTCTTCACTGGGGCTTGGAGCTGGCTACAAGCTACATTCTAAATGCTACGGAGCATTTGGAAAAATTTCCTAAATAGGTACATATTACTTTAATAACTGGAAATCAAAATAATTGCTCAGCAACAAAAAATAACCCTGGAACTAATTTTTAATTTTTTCTCATATTAATACTTAACTACCTATGTTAAGTCTTTTCTGATGTACTACCTCTCATTTTATTTCCATTTTTACAAAGAATTCAAGTGTCCTTATATTTTTACACAAATCACACTAAAGTTTTATATCGCCTATTTTTGATCCAGATTTCTTTTAAAAAGTACTACTTTTGCTCTAGATACTTCCAAACTTTCTAGAGGACAAAATTAATGATTTTTAAAATCTGATCCAACAGTTCACAACTTACATGACCATAAAAAATCAAACTTATAACATTATCTGAAATAAAATTTATGATTGAAATGAAATTTTTTTCTGTAGAATCATCATGGCTGTAGAAATAGTTGAACAGAAATACAAATACCAAAATATGTCAAGCTATTCACACTATAGATAGATAGATAGATAGATAGATAGATAGATAGATAGATGATAGATAGATAGATAGATAGATAGATAGATAGATAGATAGATAGAGCAATTTATGATGTCAATTGCACCTTAGTAAAGATACATAAAATGAGGTATCAAGAAGGTCTACATATTGAACTATATAGCTCAAGCACTGGAAAGAAGAACTGAGCACCAGCACAGGAGGTAAGAGTTCTTGTTGCTCCTTTAGAACCCGAATTCAGCCCCCAAGACCCACGCTGGATATCTCACACCCACCAGTCCAGAGAATCCCACACCCTCCTCTGGCCTCCAAAGATACCCACATGCCTGTGATAAACACATGGGGGGGAGGGGGAGGGGGGAGAGAGAGAGGGAGGGAGGGAGGGAGGGAGAGAAAAGAAGGGAGGGGGCACATTTTTTTACTTTTTAAAAAAGGACTGAAATCTCAAGGTCCAAATCAGGAGGAGAAGGAGAGAGAGCACGAGCAAGGAACTCAGGACCGCGAGAGATGCACCCACACACTGAGACAATGGGGATGTTCTATCGGGAACTCACCAAGGCCAGCTGGCCTGGGTCTGAAAAAGCCTGGGATAAAACCGGACTCGCTGAACATAGTGGACAATGAGGACTACTGAGAACTCAAGAACAATGGCAATGGGTTTTTGATCCTATTGCACGTACTGGCTTTCTGGGAGCCTAGGCAGTTTGGATGCTCACCTTACTAGACCTGGATGGAGGTGGGTGGTCCTTGGACTTCCCACAGGGCAGGGAACCCTGATTCTCTTTGGGCTGATGAGGAGGGGGATTTGATCGGGGGAGGGGGACTTGATCAGGGGGAGGGGAAGGGAAATGGGAGGCAGTGTTGGGGAGGAGGCAGAAATCTTTAATAAATAAATAAATTTAAAAAAGAAAAAAAAGGACTACAAGAGACCCAAACTCATTAAATAAGTAAATTAATAATTCAATCAATATTTTTTTAAAAAAATGAGCCACTCCTTAAATGCATCACCAATTTTATTTACAAAAGCAACTGAACAGAAAAGCTCACTAGTTTCTTGAAAAACTTTCTGGTGCAAACCATGGTTATTTTTCATTACTGGAAATGAACAGCTTCCTATTCTATTTGCTCAGCAACCACAGTCCTTGTAAGGAAAATAGAATGCCCTCTTCAAGCAAATAAAATATTCCAAGAACAAAATTATTTCTCAATTGGATTATTTCTGTGTAAAGAAAGCCACAAAAAGAAAATTTATGGATGGATTTAAATGAAAATTTTTCCTATAGTTTCACATTAACTTAGAATACATTACAATAAACAGTAAACAATTACATATTTATATTAACTATTTCAAATAGTGTTTCAGAACTTAAAAAAAAATGCCCTCTTCAAAACACCAATAAAGGGTCAAACTAGATCACCATCGGCCTCAAAAGTTTTTTTTTTTTTAAGTTCTTGGGGTTTTTCCACTTGTGCTTTTAGGATACTGAGTTCAAAGGCAAATACTGCACTTCCCCCCACAGACAAAATTACCGTCTTATAAATAAACAGCAAAAGTACAAGTCCTACCAACACTACAGTGTTCCTATGTCCTAATGAGGCAAAGGTTCTTCTGTTTAAAAAAAAAAGGGGGGGGGGACATACAAGACATATTTATAGTTCTGCAGTGGCAACCGCCTCTTCTTCTATCTGCAACAGTGCTTTCGAATGGAGGCTTACATCACATGGCGGTTGGCCGTCCAGCTGATCAGGCAGGGAGAGAAGAGAGAAGGGTGCTCAGACTCAAAAGCATGTAAATATCAGCACATGGGATACATAGCAGTCGTCACTCAGAGGGGCCCAATGAGGTAGAAAGAGTTGCCTGTCACTCCGCCTTAGGATAAAGGTAGGCAGAATGCAGCCTCTTGGGGCTAGAACTCTTTATTTGCAAAAGAGAGTAAAAACTAGCTGCTGAATCAGAAAACAAAAGGCCTGCAACTCTCTATTATTTGTACTGAAGGAGAGAGAAGGCGTGGGCAATAGCTCCAAAAATCAGCGATATTTGGCTTTGGATTTAAAAGAGAAAAAATGCACACACATACACACCACCACCCCAGATCCCATGCCCAGCCTTGATATTCTCCCAACTTCAGGATCAATATCCAAGAGAGGCCTGGACAGCCAGCAGATAGCCATTGACAGATAAAAGAGAGTTGATCAGTTCAAGTCATTTCCAAACACGCTTCATATAAGGGGCCATATAAATACCTCCGAGTTCAAAAGCAATAGGTTTGTAGGTACCACTTGTAACACCCTTTCACAAGGAAGAAACATGTTACCAGCGTCAAGGTTCAAAATGATACACAGCAATAACTGTTGTCTTGCTGAAGCTATAACAATACACAACCAAGTTATGCTACCCTACACTTCACAAGGCTCGAACACATACTTAGAAAGGAAGTAGCATTTAAATTGTTTTTAAATTCAATAATATTGAAACTCCTTATAAACAGAATTAAGGCTCTCTCTTCAAAAAATATATGTATGGATATATGGCTACACATTGTCATAAAGCAGAAAGTGATACTCTTAGGTTCAATCATTTTCAGAGTTGATTATAAGTCACATAATAAGCTCTCATCATCAGATAATGAAAATGAGCTGATGAGAGATGAGGCCTTAATCAGAAAGCAGACTTGTCTTAACCCCTATTCTGAGCCCAGGAGTCATTAGAAGTTTCTTTTGGATCTTTGCAAACCAGAGACAATGTCCTGATTTCTGGGTACAAGCCCCTTCAGTTCCTCCAACCCACAATCTCCTCCTAGGTGGTTAGGATTCACTACATCCCTTCTATAAATAGGACAGACTATGACCCCTGAGACCAACGATCCTATGGTAGTGAACCTGAGGAAGAGGTGGCTGCAGGCTCAGGAAAAGGCATAGGAACCCGTGGTCTCCTCAAAAGACAAGAAATTTTCTCTCTGATTTGCTCTCTTACATTTGAATCGGAGATAGCAGTCATTGCAGTAGAGTTGGTTGCTTCGGATTCTGACTTCAGCTCCTGAGGAGGAACCTCCGAGGTCACGTTCGCAGGAGACACACTGACAGACCAGAGAGAGCGTACAATTAGACAAGCCTGGCGTACTCTCAGGCGAGAGATACATGGGGTGAAGAGACAGAGAGAAATGTGGCGAGAGGAATATAAAAGGCAGCGCCTCAACTCATGGGTATATTATGACAAAGCAAAGGATAGGGAAGGCCAAAAGACAATTAGTGGATTAGAATCAAGCTTTCCAGATTAGACCCTAAGAATTCATAAAGCAAAATTTAAGAACCAAGATGATCATTCGACAAATACTGGAGGTGGAGAAATAAAGAAACAATTTGCTGATTGGCTTAAAGAAATTTAGTCTTCATTACTCCAAAGAAATAAAGGCTATCTCACCACCATGTAAGAACAAGAGAAAAGTAGAATTAGGGTTTCTCACATTCTAGTCTAGAATGGGCTGCTCCCAGTGTCCCTGGAGCACAAAATGAGCAAGCACTCACGGGGTGCCTTGTGTCAAGGTTAGGGTGTTCTCTGTCTCTTTCCTCCTCCTCCTCCTTCTCTCTCTCTCTCTTTCTGTGTGTGTGTGCGCGCACACAAATATTATTTTGACTCATTCTGCTCTATATGGATGTACATATACAAATTTATACACTTATGCTTAAGCAAGCTGTTGACTTTGGAACTCCAGTATCAAAACTAGGAGCCTCTCTATTTCTATGGCCCAATGAAAGTTCAAGAATTAAACTGATGCGTTCAGCAGCAGATACTGTAAAACCAAGAGTTACAGCGTGAACCCTTTCCTGTATATAGGAACACTATATCAGGTAGAAGCAGGCTATGCAACTGTAAAAATATTTACCAGTGGCTTTCCTTCCAGACACTATTAAAAGCTACCCATTAGACACTGATAACTGCAAGTCTCTATGCTAATAACACTAGTAAATTAAATTTGAAGTCTACCCATGGCAGCATGCTAGAGAACACACTATGTACCATTAATTTTATTTATAGGATCCTAAGCAGATTAGAGCTACAAAAAGCACAGGACTTGCAGACTGACTTTTATAAGAAGATTCAGAGGTTTGACAACCGAGTAGTAGCAAGCAATTTGTGACTCCTGCAGCAGCACAGACTGACAAATAACAGCGCCAAGCTTATTAGTGGCACAACCACAACCCAGCGGCTCACAGAAGCCATGCGCTCTCCAAGCAAAGCACCGCGGCCGGCAAGCTCTTCGTCTCGCGCTCACCTTAAAACAATGTAAATGATAACAAAGACCCAGGGTCTCGATGATCATAGCGGCTCCTTTGCCCAGAATGTTATTACAGTAGGAACACACACGCTTCCCACTCACTGACCTAGACGTGGAACAAGAATGGAATGGAGGCTTTCACCTGTGCTTGGCAAGGTTGGCATTTAAAGTCACACTGTCGTTGGCAGCAATGGTAACCGCTGAAGAAAGGCTCTTTGTATCTGTGGGAGCAAGACTTTGAGCAGCCAACTCAATAAAGCTTGTCTTCATTATACCTTCAACTGTCATGAAGGCTCTAGGGACCTTGAAGCCTGTTTACCTAAAGGAACAATTTCAATAGGACTGGTCCATTTGGGATTTTGTACCCATTCCCCTGAGACCACATATGGACCCATCAGTATCTCCGATCTGCTACCTCTTCTTGCTAATTCAGTTGCCTTATATATGAAAGTCCACTCAAGGCATTCCACTCTCAGGTCCATCCAGATTCTGTAATTTGCCTCCTCAACTTTTTTTACCCTCCTTTTCAATTTTCTGGTTAGAAACAGGGACACTTTCTTGCGTGTACTTCTGTTGAGAGTGAAGTCATCACAGCTGAAGCACTGCCGATGAGTCAGGGATGGAGATTCCTTCCCACTTCACTTTCAGACCTAAAAGGACCGGTCTCTCCTAGTGCTAAAGAGACATCACCTTCAGCCTTACTTTCTCAGCCCCGCAGGAGGAGGAAAGCACCACAAGACCACTGGGAGTGCAGGGAGTGATGGCTATTGAGAGGCAGGTGTGGCGAGAACAATCTGCTGGCCAAAGACTCTGCCTGGACAGAGAAGCCCAAGGCCTGTCCTCTAGATCTCCCCTGCCCTATTCTCACATATGGGGCTACAGAGGGAGAATAAGTGAATGCCGATCCTCTCTTTCTGAAAACCCCATCGATCGCCAAAAAAACTTGACCACAATGCCTCCTGGCCCCTTTTCCTTTAATTCAACTCTCTAACATAGTTTCTAGATTTTGATAATTATATGCTATTTTGAATTGAGATATTTATTCTTATCTAAGTCTATTAACAGTTTAAAATATCCAAATATCGATGAATTTCTACCTTAATCATTATATTTGTGGTGGAATTGAAAACTCCCTTGGGATGACAACAGAGGACTGGCTCATGGGGACGCTGTGATGATCTAAAAACACAACCCACATTGACATCAGGGCTTCACCCAGTGACTTGGGCCAAGGGGCCATTCAAGTTACTCCCTAACTTTCACCCCCTCCCCAGAACATATGAACTGCGGAAGTCAAGTAACGAGGACTGAGCAAAGTGGTGGCTGACCGGGTCACAGATGAAGCCACCCAAGACTCTAAAAGCAAGATCAAACCTACAAGATGATTTTTTTTTTAAATCTAGCTTGTTCAAACTGCCCCGGCTATGAAGCCTATTTATCACAACCCATTCCAATGAGTTTCCATTAGAGTGCCATTAAAAGTCAGACACTTCATAGCACTGATTGTACTCATAAATATGAAAGCATTCATGAGCCACCGTGTCCTTTGTGGATGCCACAGGGTGATTGATCTATTCAGAGAAATCTTCCAGCTGAGACACTGACCAAAAGCACAGGCAACAGAGAGCCTGGCGACATGCAGACATGTTGAAAGTCTCGAGTGCCTTTCCCAGACATCGGTAGACACTAGGCAGGCAGCAGACAGAGGCAGAAGAAAGTCTTCTCAATTGCTTTGATACAAGAACACCAAATTCATGCACTCAGTTTTTCTTCTTCACTGGATAATTTAGGGAACGTTTCAACGAAGAAACAGACGTGAAATTAAGACTAGGGGTCAACAGAAAGGGCCTCACCTGTTGCGGAGTTGAGAGCCCGACTGTGAAATGGAAGGGGAGCAGCTGCGTGGGGTAGGAGACCCTGGGGGGGCAGGGCCTGGTATGATGGTCTTCACAGAGCCAGCTGGAGGTGGTACCGCAGAGGATGGGTTCCTCATGTAGGCACGGTTTGATGTGGACAACAGCTGTGGAGGCGGGCGACTGAAGTCTTGGACGGAGGAGGAGGCATAGACTCCTGCAGGTTGGCTGTGCCATGGGGACTGCCTCCAGGAACTAGGCCTCTGGGAGTCCAGGTTGTCCAGGGACTCCCCTCTGAAACACAGGAAGAAGTCATAGGGGTAACATGAGCCACTCAGATGGAGATCATCCGTCGGATGAAATGTACCATTATGGTCAATATAAGACCCATTTTACGTATTTCCTAGACTGTAAGTCACCTGAATCCAGTTACATATATGATTACTTTCAATAATAAAACTGTTCTGCATCAGAGGTACTGTGCCAGTTCATTCTTCAATAACTTTCTTTGGCATGGTGCTTAAACCAAAGACCAAGTATCAAACTGGAAAGAAAATTATCATTTAAATAAAAGTGAATACTGGAAAGGTAACCAGTCATCCTTTAAATCTTGAACAGTGTAGACATATAAACCTCATTCCTTCAAAATTCAATCACAAAATGAATTTTAGGTACATAATAAGTATTAAGCTAGACATTTCCACAGAAATATTTAATCTTCACAGAAGCATAGAAGGTTGTTTTTAATCTCATAGAAGTTTCTTTGCTCAAACTAGGAGTGTGTGGGTCAGGCTCTGGCTGACTGCACTGAAACCCAGGCCTGCCTCCCAGACCTTCTCAGCAATGGTATTGTCAAGTTTAGAGGGTACATATAGACAGAGATACACACACAGATAAAGTTCCTAAGATTCAATCCTGCATTTTAAAACACCTACTTGTGTATTAAAATAATTAATTCTCTATCTGAAACATGTTGCAAATAAATTTCCCCAGCTCAGCAGTCAGACAGAACACTGGCAGAGTAGCTACAGTATAATTTGCCAAGATAGGTCTCCTAGCATGCCCACCCACTCACTCCAACTTGTATCTGCAGTTTTACCATCTTAAATGTTACAGAATTAGGTTTGCACAGTTTTTGTGAACCTAATTACCATGATTGCAACCTAGCTGTTAATCTGATTATGAACATAAGTAGGTTTCCTTCTCTTCAAGCTTAACACACACAAAAAAAGAATCAAATTCATATTTAGTTATCTGAATCCCATTTCCAAATTCCACATCCAGACTTAGAAGCTATTCATGATGTGATCTTGTCCTGCTGGCTTCCCTGTCTCACTCAACCAGTTTCTTTACACACACACACACACACACACACACACACACACACATCAGAGTAACTGAGTCTACTTCAAAACATTGTCCCCAGTTTAAATGAGATGGTTCAGACACAAGAACTGACTGCATCTGATGATAGTTCACTGCCCCCAAAAAAGGGGAAAGCCTAAAACTGAGACATTTGCTTCCCAGCAAAGATCGCGAACATCTCCTACCTTCTCATGAGCCCAGGCAGGCAGATGGGCTCTTTGTTCACACTCGCACTGCGCTGTCGGATCCAGCTGTTGTCATTATGGAGAGACGTTCTCTTCCTCATTTCCTGCAAGATTTGCTGTCTCTCTAACTCTGCTTCTGAGGGGCCCTGATCCTTCCTGGAGCTCCTTTGAGAAAAGCTAGTAGTCCCAATTCGGTCAGAATATTTGCTGCTTCCTAGATGAAAAACATACCAAAAGCTTCAATATAAGTACACAAGAAATGATAGTGGATCAACCTCCAAAGAGAGGGCAACTTCAAGCCCAGCACTCTGCATGGGGGCTGACAGCATCCAGCTCCAGCAGGGGGACGAGTGTGGGAAATAGACAGCTACTAGCTGCCTCCTATTACTGGAAATTCCAGTTCCACATGCAGAGGCATCCATGAGGTGCAGATACATACATACATACATACACACATACACACACACAAACAAGCATGCACACACGCAAATCCCTATAAATCCCAGAAGTGTTCAGTTACAAAACATTCGTCTAATTTCTTTTTCTTTAAATCAAGTGCACTCATTGCAGGCTTTCTATGAAGGCTAGGGAATTTTCTTCTACATCTATTCTCTGTCCCACCCCCAGGACAGGAAAAGACCACACAAGACAAATGTCTCTAATTGACAGGGGCTGTTCTCGTGGTCTAAGTTGCAGAATAAGTCATGACCACTGTAAGATTATCCAGCCACTGACAGAGCCCTGGTGAACAATAGAAAATGATTGTTCATAATATTACCAAATCTCTTTGTGCTCTGAGATATTTATAAACTGTAATATAACTATTAAGTTTATCAGTAGTAATTAAGTCAGCTTGCATCCCCAAGGTCTGCTGACTAATTCCTATTTATGGAAAACACATACAATCTATTGGTTTAGATTAGAAAAGTTTAACTAAGGAATTTTTTTCTCTGAATTCATTGTTATTGCCACACGTTCAGAGTATCTGGCTTGTCTAGGTACCTCTTCAAGGTAAGCAATGAGCCAGAGGCCACAGAAGTGTGTTGTTATTGCTGTTTAGTACACACCTACATGTGGTATTTTAATAACAATATCAATGTGCTAGTTTTAAATAAAACTTTCTTCATATGAAGAGTATGTTGATGGTATAACCAAATCATCCCATCACATATGTAATAATTTCTTAGTGTGTGGCGGGCACAGGGAAGAAAGCACACACTACCAGCCATCCAGGTGGCACACAAAACAGAGGAGTGAGCAACTATTTCAGACCGTCCCACGTGTGCACCAACAACCGTGTGCTAATTCAAGGCGGTGTGGCTGGCACAGGGAAGAAAGCTATCCAGGTGGGACCCAAACACAAGAGTGAGCAGGTGTTTGAGACTGTCACAGGTGTGCGCCAACAACCAGGTTTCACTCAGAACAGAGTACAAATGCCACAGACTAAAGGTGTGTCACACAAGGCAAGTGTACTTAATCTGTAATTTTAACAATAGCTAGGGGCCAAATTCAAGGGGAAAGAGCTGGAAAGCCCAAATAGGAAAGATCCAAAGAGCAGACAGGCCACATTAGAAGTATCTGTTGAGCGGAGACATAAGAGAGAGGACAATTGTTTAGAGTAGTGTTTCCTGAAGGGAAAGGTGGGTCCAAGATGCTGGCAAGTCAAATAGCGCCATGACTGAAGATCCTACTTACTCAATGATACTGCCACCTATCCGAATGAAAACTTAATTCTATGAGCTTTGACCAGAGATACACATCAGCTGCTACCAGACCCAAGATAAACATAAAAGACAACGTTTTTCTTATAATGAGCTTTAAATTTTTTTAAAAAAATTTTCTCAGTAGTTTAATGATAATATGTAAAATGCAAACTACTACTTATTCATATTAAAAACAGAAATAGCTGGCATCAGAGATTTGAATTACCTTGGAGGTCAGTGATGGGGTCAAAGCTTGTCTGTCCATCTCGATCCCTACCTGAACATTTCTATATGTGCATAACTGACCAATAGCTTGTTTATGCAAACCCTGTATGTATGATGAAATTGCTTAGGGCTTTTTTTTTTACTTATGCAATTTCAGTTATCTGGGGCTAACCATAACCATATTTTATATCAAGTTCTGAGTTCCAAATGATTTTCAAGAAGCGAAAAAAATCCCTATCACTGGGTTTTCAGACCTTTTTCCATTTGCATAAATGACTTCGCATTTATCCATAATTCTTATGTCCTCTGTATTATTTCCTGGCCACATTCTTTAACTGCAAGATAAAATCTACTATGCAAAGTGTGTCAATATTTTCTTTGCAAATTTCCCACATATTCCTTAGTTATTGAAATGCCCCGGTATGGTACTCACTCCATTATAAAGAAAGCCAAATAAATAAGAGGTAGTTTTTATTACAGATATGCAAAATAGCATGTTGCCCGTATAATAGTAGTGAATCTAAAGTTTCTGGCACTTAAAGAAACTAATGATAGTATATGACCACTCAAATATGTAATTGTGCTTTTAAATAAAAGTTTGAATGCAAAAAATCACACTTACCATTTTTCTCTATGGGGGTATCATTTAGTTCCGTAGTAGATCTTGACTTGCTCCTAAAACAGAATATATTAAATATGTGTTATTAACATTTTTATTTTATTCCAGAAAATACAGCTTTGTTTGTTTGTTTTTTTTTCAAGACAAGTCTTCTCTGTGTAGTCCTGATTGACCTGGAACTTTTTCTGTATACTGGTGCTGACCTCAAACACAGAAATCTACCTGCCTCTGTCTCCCAAGTGCTGGGATTAAAGGCATACACCACTACCCCTGGAAAAGATATGTTTTTTAAGCAGGTATTTATTTCCTATATCTTTGGGGAGATGAGTTTATTTTTGAACCAAGGAAAACTTCATATTATGCAAACTAGCAGAAAACAATAATAGCTGGAAATACACAAAATTTGGGACCCTCTCTCCTTCCTAAGATAGAGACTGCTCTGCCCATGCTGACTCCTGCACCAGCCACTAGCTCATTCAGAGTCAGTCTATGCTGTGTCCTCCACACTGCCTGGCATCAAGATGTGAATATCTATGGCACCAGGAGCCCACATTTCACCCATTTGCCAAATGCTATCCTGGCATTCCAAACAAGTAGTAAGGCCATCTGACTCTGCAGGCACCTCTGAAAATGCCGTCTTCATAGCTATAAAAGGGCACAGGCTCATCTCCTCATTCTACTAATTAGCTCAACTTCAGAAATAGTAGCAATACTATACACAGATGTGCATATGTATATATAGTGTATATCTGCACCCTGAGTAGTAACCTATAATGCAGGATAAGATGCTATTTATTACTGGCAGACAGCTACATCTGTCAGGGCATGCCTGTATTTACAAAGAAAACACTTACCCTTGGATGTTAGGCTGCACTCCCCAATGCCTATAAAGTATACACTACATAATATATATAATAGTATTTATATATTATATATAGCACTACCTATAGTATTCCACATTGTACAATATAATATATAATATATAGTATATACTCCCCAATTATATAAATCCACTCATAGATTTTTAAAAAATAGATGCAGAGTAAGCTGGCCTTGAACTTACAGAGATACCATGCCTCTGCCTCCTCAGTGCTGGAATCATAATTCTGACCTTGTGTTTTCTTTCTTACTTAGCTTTTTACTACCTGCATTCAAGGCAGCTCATTTCCCCAGATACTTCCACCAACTCCCAAAAAAGCAGAGCTCTCTGGTTAACTAGCAGCAGATGTGTGACTAGAGCCCAAACAAGCAACATCTCCAAATGAGCTCAGCACAAAATGCTAAGCCACAAAATCATAAGTTTAAAGGTTATGGTTACACAGCAAAAACTAACTGATACAAAGGACAATCTTTGAGTTGTTTTGTTTCTTCTGTTTTGCTCCACAAGGCAAAAGGACAAAGGGCTACAGTAGCTCTACAGATCACCTAGGTGACCTGAGGAACATCCATCTGAAGTCAACTGGGATCAACCAAGTAAAACACAGTAGTCCACACACCTGTCCGTAGAAAACATCCCTGAAGATTCCTCCTCTCTCTTTGGTATATCGTAGGAATCAATAGGCCTAAAAAGTAAGGAATTTTTTTTTACTAAAATACCAGAATTTAAAACATTCCCTGACTTTAGGAATATCAAAATAGTATTCTGGTCTTTTATGCAAATTGTCTATGGCTAGACAGGCATTTCAACAGGTGCTACTGAGAACAGACCTATATGCATTTGCTGACCACATGCCCAGTTATCCATTCTCTGTATAAGCATACACTGCAGTAGGTGAGAACTCCATGTTCTGGTCATGATCTAGGGCTACAGAAATTGCTTTTTTAAATTTTAGCTTTGTACCACATCTTCATGGGGTAGGGCAGGCCAAGAGGACAACAATGCAGACCAGTGTGGTGTACACAGAATTGATGGAAAGGCAGAATCGGGTATTCTGGAAAGGCTAAGCTGGTGATGGCAGGGTAGACATTTACATCAGATGAGTGGGCCACATGTGTGTGGTGGCAGTCATTTCCAGAGGTAACAGAAAACATTGGCGTTGTAATATGTACGGAAGCCTTGAAAGAGCTGAGGGAATTAAAGTGGCAGATGCTGTCTGTGGTGGGATTTCCTTCTATAGGCTGTCAATATGTTTTACTACCATTAGTTAATAAAGAAGCTGCTTTGGCCTATGGCAGGGCAGACTATACCAAGGCAGGAAATCCAAGCAAAGCTAGAGGAGGAAAGAAGATGGAGTAAGGCAGACACCATGTAGCCCCCAAGAAGCAAGAGGTAACAAACCATGAGCCTTGTGGTAAAATATACAAAGAAATGGGTTCATTTAAGATGTAAGAGTTAGTTTATAAGAAGCCTGAGCTAATAGGCCAAACAGTGTTGTATCGATATAGATTCTGTGTGATTATTCAGGTCTGGGCAGCCAGGAGTGAAAGAGCAGTCTCCATTTACAGAAGTTTTGTGGTTTAAAGGCTCTTTGGGACGGGTTGGTTAAGCTGTGCAAAGTGAGGATTGCAGAGGACGGAATGCATACTGGGTAGGCAAAACAAACCCATGACTATTGAAATTCCTTGATACCCGCTTCAGCTATGGGGACAGACCTCCGGTATTGGTAGATCTTGACCGAAGTTTCTCGCTCCCTCTCTGCATGGTACTTTTGCATTTCAGCCTGTTTTCGCGTTTGAGCCTCTGCCTGGGCCTGGGCCTCTGCTCGGGCCTTGGCTTCTGCCTCAGCCTGCGCCTGTGCCTCAGCCTCCCGCTGCTTCCGAAGCTCTTCTTCCTGAGCTTCTTCCTTCCGTTTCTTCTCCTGCTCAAGCATGAGCTGCTCCTGCAGTTTCCGACTTTTGTCCTCACGAACAGCATCCTCTTCCAGCTGTCCTCTCTCCTCCTCCCCTGCTCGGGTTCCTTCCCGGTCCGAAGACTTGGACCCTTCACTCCAGGTGGATTCCCAAGTGGCAGTCACAGGCTCCCGTGTAGTCAGAGAAATGCTGTTGGATCTTAGGACCATCAGCTCCTAGGTAGCCAGTAAAAATCAATCAATCAATCAAACACAGCGCCATCTGTGTCTGTCTTTTCACACAGATTCAACTGTGGATGAAAATAATGGTAAGCAGCCCAGAATTCCAAGAAGATAGTTACAGCTCTTTTTTTTTTCTTTTTAAGCCACATAAATAACTGAAGTCTAAGGGCAGAAAGATGACTTGAAGCTGAAGTTCTAGGGAAATTTACTTGATGATATATTAGGAAAAACTACGAGAGAATTTAAAAGATCAAAGTAAATTTCTAATACACAAGAATTCAATGTATTTTCCAAAGAGCTACAGAGGTGTGTGTCTAGGAAAATGGGGTGTGGTGTTCCTTGCCTAGGTTCTCCAAAACGGTACAGAGAAGGAAGGGAACAAGGCATGCTTCGTGCTACCTCATCCAAGTACTTGGAATTCTCTCTCTCGGCCTCTTGTTGCGCCCTCTGCCACTCTTCCCTCAGCTTTTCTTGCTCACGTTGGTATTTTTCCTAGGGGGGAATATGGAATAATAATTAATCAAGGTCGCCTTTTCATGGGAAGCAGGGTATTTAAGCAGGATATTTCCCATTAACAATTTTGCTAGCTCTAAACTTCCAGATCAAACTTTCATGTGACCAATTAGAATTTAGTCTGAAGGAAAAAAAAAAGTCTTATATTAAGCTAAAATTAAGCAGATGTTTAGATGTCAGAAATTTGAGGCACATGGCACAAAACCTATACCCAAGCTGTATTGTTGATGTTACTCATCAAGGCCTCCACAGCTAGGGTAAGGGAGACTGATGGCCAAACAGACCTCATCTACCGCTGGCAGGGACAAGCCCTCACAGTCTGGGCCTCTCATGTCTCCCAAGTATCTGTAGAGGTTAAGGCCCGATAGTTTATATAATCATCAAAATGGGAAAGTAAGTGCTTAATGCAAGATATGAGTACAATATGCAAAAAGGTTTGGGGTTTGCTAGTGGTAAGGATGCTGGTTTGGTTCTGCCTTTTTGCAAGCTTGCTTCTCAACACTGCTTGGCACTGGCCAGAAGACAGCGCTGAAGCTAAAGCCCTCTATTCACCCAGGATATTGTGGTAGTACCTGGAGTAGGCGGTCCTGCTCTTTCTGCCACCTCTCCTGTCGTTTCCGCTCCTCCTCTTGATCCCACGCCCAGCGACTTGGGGCATTGAGGGTTGGAACTGGAACCTAACCAGTTTGCGGCACAAGGGATGTAAACACAGAACAACTTAAACACTCCTTAAGTCATCTACTGAAACCCTCAGTCTACTGAAACTCATCAATCATTCATCTCCTGTTGGCTTAAACCATCACAGGGAAGACGTGGTCTCACATTTCAACGTCAACTTCTTTAGCTTAGCATATCACAACCCCACCAACCTTTACGTATCTTAAAAACAATGCAGGAAATATGACTGTGGAGAAACCCAGTCCCACCAAGCTTCCCTTATGTATTCCCAACTACAAAAGTCTGGTACTCACATCAGGACCTGCAGAATCGGGGCTCCCTGCATCGCAGCACATTAGCGAGGAGGGAAGAAAAGCACAGCGTGAGCCTCCATTTCCAGAAAATCATTCTTTTCGGGGAGTTAGGTCACTAGCTGTCTCTGCCAGTATGCCGAGTGACATCAGTGCTCTCGGTAACTCGTCACCTAGGAATCCTTCCCCTTCAGTTCCATCTGCACTCGTCTTCCAAACTCACATTTAGTTCAGAGAGGAGACTGCTGGAGCCCCAAACTCTAGGGCACAGTGCTAATTTGGTGAGTCTTTCATAAGAGGCTTCATTGATACCAAACTGACCAGTGTCTCATAGTTTGGCTTAACAGGGAGAAAGAACACAAACACTGCAGCATCTCCCAAGCCCAGTTATTGCAAATGTTCGTCAAAAGTATGACAGCAGCCTTTCTTATTTCCCAGGTCTCCTTGCTGATGAGCTGCTTTCTAATTGATATGTGGCAAAAAAATCAAGGTCAAGACCCCCTTTCTTTTCTATTATTTGAAACACAGGGGTTCAAGTTTGATGTGTCAACTATCAGGCACTATATTATTAGTATATCATCATCACACCCAGGCTGACCTCAACTCTGAACTTTTAGTCCTCCAGCCTCCATTGTCCATATGCTGGGACTACAGGTGTGGACCACCATGCCTGGCTAATTCTTTGATTGCTATTTTGAGATACTATTTAGTCTAGGCTGGTATTGAACTTTTAATCTCCCTGCCTAGCCTTGACATTAGAGCTATGTATAACTACACTGGACTAATTTATAATGTGTTGACACATTATATAATTATCAAAAAGTGAATTTTCAGAAAATATACTATTATATAGTGTTCAGAAAGTTTCCTGAAATCTCAGCTGTCATATAAACATGTACCTATTTAAAGAAAACTGTTTTAAAACTTAGGAAAATGTTCATCTCTAAAATAGCTCATTGAAGAAAAGATAAAACTAAAACAAAAATGAGGAACTATTTTGTTTTAGCCAGATCAAATTAGGAATGTGTTATCACTTCAATTGAATAGCCACAGAAAATAGTGAGTTTAGTGAAAAAAATATGAATCAAAAACACCAAAGACAGATGATAAACACTTTGGTCTGAAAGGAAATTTAATCTACCTTAGGAAGAACATTAGGCAGTAAACACAACAGACACAACCCAGTAGGTATCATAAAGCAAATTTTGAAATGTTTCATTAATCTTTAAAAAATGAGGAACATTTTAGATAGCAAGAGTAAATCTTCTGTGATGCTGCATCTAAAATGTTATACATTTCTTTTAAGTTCTTTGGAGCAGAACAGAGTTGAGCCCACATTCGGGAGACAGAGAGTTAGACAAACGTGAAGATGAAGAAAAGGTGCATGCATCATTCCTCAAGAAGCAGCCATGCGCAGCTACACCAACATAGATGACTTTACAATGCTCCTGTGCTCAGGTGCAACCAAATTTTCTTTATGTTAAGTTTCCTTTGACATCAACAGAGTCATCATATCAGCCCTCCACCGTCATTCCAATAGCAACGAGCATCTCTGGGCTTCATGAGCAGCAGTATTTCCCATGACCAAAAACAAATTGTTTGTTTTTGTAAGTTGACCAAACATATGTTGGTGTAATCTAACACTGTGCAAATGATAGGAAGCAGTAAGGCAAAACTGAAGCTCCTCATTTCTTACTGTTACCCAGTGGAAAAAACACGTGTGTTTAATAGCATCTCACTGCTTTGATTGTTGTTTTGTTTTTTCACAAGGTTAAAAGAGAGAAACACCTTGAGAGCTAGACAAAGGACACGCAAAGACCCATTACCACAGAGGTAGACCCATGAACTGTAAGAAAAGCCTGATGATCCTGGGGAAAGAACGGAAATGGGTTATGTTGCTTGGTCATAACAGCAGCAAGATGGAAGGAGATTGGTGCCCAGAGCCACAGACCACAAGGAGAGGAGAGTGAGGAGCGAGGCAAGTCCACGGGAGCCCAGGAGGAGTGAGCGTTACAATTTACCTTGTTCAAAAAATTGGGACCGCCTTTTTAAATTTCTCAAAGAAATGGATTCTGATGCTAGTTGAAAAATAAGAAAATAAATACCAGGTCATTCATTTTAACTTCTCACCACTGGTAAATCAATGACACTTGAGAGACCTTTCCAATCTGTAGCAATGTTATTTTTTAAATACAAAATTGGTAGCCGCTGAAGGTAGAGATTATTTCAAGGCAGACACATGTATTTTAGTAATCTACACTACATTCAAGTTAGCAAGAGGAACAAACACTTTATTAATTATTTTTAGTAACTAGCACTGTATTTTCACAACAAGGAGAGCCATATCATCATCTTAGAGGCCGGTACTTCCGAGAAATAAAAACTAACACTTTCCGCTTACGTGAATCGACCTAAAGTTATCTCTCCCAAAGCATTTTTACAACATGGTGAAGGAAAATGTAAAAGTATCTGGAGAAGTCATCAAAAGCAAGACAATCTAATGAATGACCAAATGAAAGCAAATGCTAAAGTGAATGTGTCTTTAATTAGAATATTTTGTGGTAGTATTTAAGAATGTGTAGATGCTGGCTTATGTCTTATTATTTTTGCTGTAAGTTAGCCAGAAAGAAAAAGGAAACGTAATCTGACATCTCCCACGAATCAGTCCCAAAACAATGGTACAAACCATAAATATCACCTGACAGTGGCTGATGCTTACTTAGTAAACAATCCTGAAGTAGCAAGCCCTGCATAGAGTTGCATAGTCACCATGTAGGTGTCTTATCGATTGGCACTACTACCTGGGTCACTAGAAGAAGACAACTAGGGTTCTTTAGCTTTTTAATATCAGGAAAAATAAGCAATGTTTATTTTCAAACTCAGTTGATAAGGCAAACAACTGTCCTACTTTGTAATTATTAGAAAAAAAGGACAAAGAGAATAATCATAAAGAAGAGACAAATCCATAAACTTCGATCAGTTTTGCTCAACATATTTACTAACTGTTCAACTGTGTCGCCAAAGCAAACACAGCCCCACTACAGGAGGCCTGGCCTCATGGTGTAAGATCTTCATCTTCTTCTGGCCTCTTTCCTGCCTGTATGGACCCGAAAGGTCTTTCTGATATGTCTAAGGAATAACACACAGCACTCAGTAGCTAAATTATTTCTGAATGGTCAAAGCAAAGAGTGGAGCTCCCACAATACCCTGGATACTTCTGTCACCTTCTTTTTCAAGACAAACAAAGGTGACTCTCTCAACTGTGACTGCCCTCGGTGATTCCCTGCCAGGATCAGCTCCCTGCACATTTGTCCTTTCAAAACAATCAGGAGGGAAAGGAAACTCCTCATTCTGAGTTTAATGAAGATCCTTCTGCCAACACTCCATAGCCCCGAAGCTGCTGGCTCTAGGAAAACCTGTTCTTCTTATTTGGCTTAGGTGCGGGTACCTAGAGCTCCAGAGCCTGCTGCCAAATTTGCATTTGTAGCTCCTGAACTATTCAGGCTGGAACGGACTCCTTCCCACCTGGCCGCAACTGGATTCGCATGCTAACCTTGGTTTCAACTCGTTCTTCATCCAGCTTTTGCTCACTTACATACATTAATTTTTCTAGCAGGTCTTGAGAGCTATAACTTCCCCTGCGGGACAAACGGAAGTAATTTAAGAGTGATTTTTACCTTTTGAATCAAGGGTGTTGCTTTCTTCGTGAATTCCATTGATTTCTTTGGATTCAGTGTACTGGAGAGGGTAGAAATGCTCATTAACATTCTCTCTGATTAGACTCTGGGCTTAAATAATACATCTCTCATTAGGGGAAGATGTCTTTAAACAAAATGGGTTTTCAGGATATTGAGTCATCACCCACAGCTTCTTATATATACTAAATTTTTTTCATTACTCTCCAATACTTGGGAAAGGATTAATGACTAGCTATAGGCAAGAATGACCATAAGTTTAATCAGTCATTAATATTCTAAGAGGTAGATAAAACATTCATCCATTTGGGTTGCATTTATGAGTAGTAAAACAACCATTTATTATTCTTTAACATTTAAACCTGTCCTTTAAAAATGTAATAATATTTCCTTTTAGATAAGTTGATTCAGTTCAAAGTTTAAATTATCAATTAAAATGAACAATTCTGATTAGAAATAGAAATTAGTTTTTTAAGAAAAAAACTATATGAAAAAATATTGCTTTAGAATTTTGAAATTTCCTGCACTGTGCTTTTTAAATCAATTCGTGAAACTGATCATATCTTAATCACACATGCAATCCAATTAAACTGCATCATGAGATCTCATGGTATGCAGTGACTCTATTTTACCAGCTGATGACAGAGCACAAATAGCTGTAGCATATAATTTTTCACATTGCTGTTTCTCATTCACAATGATCAAGAGAGACGGTTGTAATAATGAAAGATTGGTGAGAAATACTTGAAGAGCAAGGTTATGGAATGATGTTATCATCCATAACTCAATAATAAAAAATGGCTAATGAAAACAGCCAGTATTTTCAAGATGACACTTTGGTTTATTTATTAAGTATAACCTAACCATTTATCTTTTATGCCGCATCGAAACTTCCCCCCCACATAGCTTCTGTTGTTACTTCTTTCTACTTACAGGACTCTGAAGGCTTTCAGAGAAATCAGTTGTTACCGACAGACTTGAGGACTTGTCTGAGGTGTAAATCCCTGAAGTCGTGTCCGTCCACTTTGTTTCTGGCGAACCTATAATTTTGGTAGCCACACTGGTAAGATTGAGGGTTTTATGCCGTTGTATGGATGGCAGGGGAGGTTGGTCTCTGCCCCAGTCTGATTGGCACATGAAGATCAAGTAATGAAAACACATAGATGGTGAAGTGGAAAGAATAAAGTTACTGAATGCACAGATACAAAACGTACACAGACAGACATACAGACAGACGGACAGATGAATCAGGCATTGTCAACGATGGGGAGACCTCAGGGCTTTTACCAGCAGATCACCTTCCCAAAACATAAAGGTTAAGAACTGTGGTAGTAAATAGAAGACTAGCAAATGTGCTGATTCTTTTGCTAAACTGACTGGCACTCATGTTATGTGCCGACACCAAACATGTGTGGATCTGAAGAGACTTAATGTCCCTTTCTAGCAAACAATCACCCATGACACAGAAACACAATGACATAAAAAGCAGATTGTAATGCTATGGGAATAAATAGGAATATGTCCTACTGTGATCTTGACAACAGCAGTACAGTTAAGTACTATAGAGAAAGTTAAATCATAAAGCCATCATTTTTTCCACTGCTTTGTTGTTTCTTTTAGTTTTTGGGACAGAGTTTCTCTGTGTAGCACCAGCTCCCCTGGAACTCACTCTGTAGACAGGCTGGCCTTGAACTCACAGAGATCCGCTTGTCTCTGCATCCCAAATGCTAGGATTAAAGGTATGCACCACCTCTGCCCACCTCATAGTCCCATTCTTAATGCTCGGCATTGTAGCTCCTGGGTACAGATACTTTTGTTTTTAATGGGCATTTGCATTACGGCCAGATCATTTACCTAAGCAGTCAAAGGGTGTCGAATTCAGTAGATTTGCTAGTGAAGCATTTTCAGAAGGAATAGACAGAGGGGCCATTCATGATTTGTCCCAACACAACGACAAAACAATTGCAAGCACAAAGCTAAGAAAAACGGGGGTAGGGGAAAGGATTAATAAAGCCAATGGTTACAACCACCTGCCAAAGTCAGGTTTCCCTACTCAGCCAGGCACAGAGGGAAACCAACTCACCAGACTTTCCATAGCGCCTGACATCCATCACTAAGTTTCCGGTTTCTTGGGCGCTTGCCATGGTTTCCTCCCACTTTTTTGTATCCTTATATGAAAACTTGGTGTTATTGATGGCAAGAATTTCATCATCTACCTGCAGCTGAGAAAATTCTGCTGGGCTACCTAGACAAGGTAGAGTAAAATACATAATCAGATGATAAGGATCCCACACAGACTGATCCCTGTTGTTTAAGGCAAATGACTTTGTCATCTCGACTAGTTCCTACAGTTTCCAGTAGAGAAGTAACATTGGTATTTTTAAGTTATCTAATAGCTGAGTCCCGATACCACATGAAGTACCAGGGGCATTGTTTAATTCAGAGTCCGTTTCTCCATTGACATTGAAAGAAGAAATGGTAAGTTCAGCCAAAATAATAATAACAATAGTAATACTAATAATAACTCTCCTGAGGACAAAGAAAAGATGCAGTTATATTTAAATTTAAAATGTGAAATATATTATACTTTAATGAAGCATCAGTTAGCATTCTGGGCTAGAGAGAGTAGAAGGAAAGAGTCCCTTCAAACTGCACAAAATTACCACTTAAAGTACCGTGATTACACCAATCTTAAAATTTAAAAGGAAGAGCCAATGTCAACACACAATTCTGTATGATAAAAATCCATGAACAGGGATCTCCTCTCAAATAGGATAGATCTCACTGTAGTTACCTTGAGAGCTAATTTAGCAGTTGTTGGGTTTGCCGTGGCATAACCCTGGCTGTGGGAGGAGTAATCATTCAGTAGAAAACCCAAAGCACCTTGAGCATATGATAAATAACAGACAAAATATAACACTACTTAGAAAACATCACTCTTGGTGGGAGATGGCCAGGGACAGAGGACCCAGCATGTATGATGCACTTGGGTCCAAGTCACTACAAACAGCAACCCCCATGTTGATCTATTATAGGGCAGTAAGTGTCTGCCACAAAAAAAAAAAAAAACAATTATCCATGGAAATTTTACACTAATCTTTCAGATAAATGCAACTTGTTAACATTTCTAGAAAGCAAGTTTTTTTTCAAAAAAAAAATCTCTAAGGTCACAAAATAGAGACTCTTGAAAATGGAAACAAATTAGGAAGGGAGAGTAAACAATATGTAATTCATAACTCCAACTGCTTGTCTTAGGGAGGAGACTACGCCAACTTTCCTCCACCCAAATGCATCTTTCCCACATGCCCCCCACCCCCACAGGCCAAATCAAGTGGCCTCTGCTTCCCACACACACCACAGACAAGGAGCGCAATATATATGATTTACCTTTTTCAACAGATGCCACGAAGATCCCCGAATAATCCCATCTTATTGTAAACCCGAAGTCAGGTTGGCTCCCAGGCGTCTGGTTTATGCTGATTCTCATATCGCTGAACTGATCCTGCAAGTAAAACGTGAAACGCTGGTATCGGGTGTCCCTGGCAACCACATGGAGGAAAACCTATCCATGAAAGACGGGAAGCTGCACCAAGGGACACCTGAGTGAGTTTAAGACAAAACAGCAGCTTCCCATTTTTTTCCATGGTTTTGATAAAACTTTCGCTTACATGTATATGATAGAGTACTATTTTCTCTTAAAATAAGGTAAGGGCAAATCTATTGTCAACCAGTGTTTTCTTTTATTTTAATACATTCCTGTAAACAAGTTGGCCATGAATAAAGTGTAGGCTTTTCAACTGCTTTTCCTACACCCATGGTCAATTCATTTCTCTCTGTAATCTTCCTCGCTACATGTAGTGGAACAGAAATTAAATGTTTAGACTATTTAAAAAAATAAGTTCTAGGCTTTTGTTCACCATACAAAAAAGCCCAATTTACAAACCACTTACTTATTCATCACCTAAGAATAAAGAGAGTAATTTAAATTATCTGTTTTAAATGACAGACAGCAGATGGAAAAGCAATCCACCTCCAACCCTCAGCATTTGTAGCTGAACTGGGCCAATGGCCCGCAGATGTATAATCAGTTATCTGTCGGAGTAATCCATCTGGAATAGACCAATCCTGTCTCCCTGTGCATATTTGTTGGCTCAACTCTCTCAGGAGGATGAAGGGGCAAATGACTTGTTGATGCCCATGCTGTTAAATGCAGAATTCTGTTCCCTCATCCGGGAGAAACTGCACACAATACATCCAGAGTAACAGACTATGACTCCTTTGAAGCCTCGCCAGTATCCCCTAGAGCCTAAGAACAATAGCATCTTGGGAAAAAAGTAGAACTCTATTTTAACTCTCTTTACTATACTCAGTGAAAATAAATCCTACATTTACAAGGATACTCTGTCTCTATCTCTGTCTTTCTCTCTCTCTGTCTCTCACTATGTCTATCTCAAATACTATTTGAAGCCAGGTGGTGGTGCTACACACCTTTAATCCCAGCACTTAGGAAGAAAAAAAAAAAAAAAAAAAAAAAAAAAAAAAGTG